ACTTCAGCACTGCGCCTCCTCTGAGTCTGGGTATGATATTCTCTTTCCTCCTAGTTGTAGAATTTCCACTCAGCCAGGCTTCCTGTGGTTCTGGATGATGTCCGTTCTGTCTTTTAGGTGTATTTTGATTTGGTTGTTCAAGGCAGCAATCTCTGGCGTTAACCTATGCCGCCATCTTGGTTTCTTCCTACATGTTTTTTTCATATTAAATCTTTGAAATGCAATTTGTATTTTACACTGGCAGTCCATCTCAGTTGGGCCAGCTACATTCAAGCACTCAACAGCCATGTGGCCAGGGCTATCAGACAGCACAGGTATAAACCCATCAAAGTGGTTACTCTGTTGGGAGAGTGGGTGAGGGGGGATGGTTTATTTTTCCTCCATATTCTTTTGTATTGTTCAATTAAAATTGTAAAGTAATGTTTCATGTATTACTTTACAAAAAACAAATAATACCAGTCAGAATTAAATTGTGTAATACTTTATATTTCATTCTTTAATGTTTTATTAATCTTTTCTGTTTTTCAGTATTGAAAACACAGTAATAGCAAGAGAAGTAAAATAGAGCTTATCAAAATGTGAACCATCCCGGCCGGTGTGGCTCCATGCTTGAACATTGACCTATGAACCAGGAGGTCATGGTTCAATTCCAGGTCAGGGCACATGCCTGAGTTGCACTCCAACACCAATAGGGGGTGTTCAGGAGGTAGTCCATCAATGATTCTCTCTCATCGACATTGTATGGCCCACAAAATCTCTGAAATCAATAAAAAATATTTTTTAAAAATGTGAACCATTAAGTACTGAGACTATTAAACTAATTGAACTGAATACACATTTTCTGAGTTTGAGCTATCTGTGAAGAGTTAGGCTATATATGCATTATAGAACACAAAAAGAATGATACGTTGTCCTAAAAGGTTTTCGGAGGCAGCTTTGGAACTCCCTTTATAGCTTCCATATTCTCTTCAGGTTGGATTTGATTTCTAGCAATGGCCGAAAACCCTCCAGTTGGGTCCAGTAAATCAAGCTAAATATTTATGGTTTTGTCTAAAATGGACTGTGACTCTAGAGTCAAAGGAAAAATTTTATTATGTAACTTGCAAACTGGGAACTGCAAATTACTTCCAAAGACATTTATTGTTTGCAACAATAAATTAAGTGGGTAATGCAACAAGGCAACTGTGGGAAAGGGCATCTTAAAATGGATATATTCTGGCCCTAGCCTGTTTGGCTCAGAGCATTGGCCTGTGGACTCAAGAGTTCTGGGTTTGATTCTGGGCAAGGGCACATGCCTGGATTGCACGCTCGATCCCCAGTAGGGGGCGTGCAGGAGGCAGCCCATCAATGACTCTCTCTCATCAATGATGTTTCTATCTCACTGCTCTCCTCCCTTCTCTCTGATATCAATAAAAATGTAGCCCTAGCTGGTTTGGCTCAGTGGATAGAGCGTCAGCCTGCGGACTGAAGGGTCCCAGGTTCGATTCCAGTCAAGGGCATGTACCTTGGCTGCAGACAAATCCCCAGCTGATCAGTGTTTCTCCCTCATCAATGTTTCTAACTCTCTATCCCCCGCCCTTCCTCTCTGTAAAAAATCAATAAAATATATTTAAAAAATGTATTTTCAAAAACAGGATACATTCTGGTTTCCTTTAAAAAATAAAAAGTTGTTGTTCCATATTCACTTAGCCCTGTGTACCTTCCTATTCTTTTTTCCATCTCCAACTATTTTCTGCAAATTGCCCAGCATGCAAAGTTAGGAGCCAAAAGATATTCACCAGTTTCAATATGCTGTAATACAGAGTTAGAAGGAAGCTTACTAATGAACCAGTTACTATTACTGCCTTTATTTTTTACTGTTGATAATTTGTTATCTCATACTTTGTTAAAATCAAGGGTAAAATTAAGTCTTTACTTTGTTCAGGACTCATCAGTGATTTACGATTGCCCTCCGTGAAGAGTGAGCAAACACCAGGATAGGGACAAAACTATTGACTACAGCCCTGGCTGGTTTGGCTCAGTGGATAGAGCATCAGCCTGCGGACTGAAGGGTCCCAAGTTTGATTCCCGCCAAGGGCATGTACCTTGGTTGCAGGCACATCCCCAGTGGGGGGTGTGCAGGAGGCGGATGATCAATGTTTCTAACTCTCTATTCCTCTCCCTTCCTCTCTGCAAAATCAATAAAATATATTAAAAAAACAACTACTGACTACTATTCTAGTATATCAATATATTTTGAAAAAAGGGGGAATCAAAAAAATTTTAATTACCTATATTTTTTTAGAATAACTTGAGTCTGCTATTTTTATTATTATTATTTTAAAGTATATTTTTATTGATTTCAGAGAGGAAGGGAGAAAGAGATAGAAACATCAATGATGAGAGAAAATCATTGACTGGTTGCCTCCTGCATGCCCCCTACTGGGGATCGAGCCTGCAACCCAGGCACGTGCCCTTGACGGGAATCGAACCTGGGACCCGACCTCTTTTTAATATATTTTTATTGATTTCCGAGAAGAAGGGAGGAGGAGAGAAACGTCAATGACGAGAATCACTGATCGGCTGCCTCCGGCACGCCCCCTACTTGGGATGGAGCCTGAAACACGGGCGTGTGCCCTGATCGGGGACCCATCGGTGACGCTCAACCACTGAGAACACCGCCGGGCAAACCTCCGGCCACTTCATGGAGCGGAGTCTT